CCAGCTATAATGCCGGTACGACATGCCAGACTGACTTCTTCGCCCGAAGTCAGTCTGAAGTCTGCACTGCCATGCGGGAACAGTGTATAATACACCTGTCTCTTATACACATCTAGATGTGTATAAGAGACAGCTGCAACCATGTTCAGAATGCTGCAATCAGGTGAGCAGCGGTACAGACGCTGTCTCTTATACACATCTAGATGTGTATAAGAGACAGTCTTCTAACGTTCAATCACACATCCTCCCTCTCTCTCTCTCTCTCTCTGTGTGCCCCCTTATATCTTTCTGTGTTTTTTTTCCTAATCCAGTGGGGGCAAGCTGCTTTGATGGTCAGTAATTAAGCCTCGATCTGGGTCAAAGGATGGGAGCATTTGTAGGAGAGTACCCACCTCCCAATACCCATATGCGTATATTTGCCTCTTGTACATGTGCTTTCATTTACTGTTGTTACCTACAGAAATTTGATTTAATTAGATTTGTTTAGATTTAATTAGATTCATGACGTTTACAATAAATAAATAAAATACAACCCGAGCGGCGGTCGTACTCAGTAGCCCTCCAGAGTTTCGCGCTGGCGATGTATAGTGAGAGATAGGACTCAGATGGCGGACCTCTTGTAGATGAGAACATATGCATTGGTTATGAAATGAGTGGCGTATTAGAGAGGGGAAGGAGGGAGGGGGGGGGGGGAAGAGACGCGAGTAGTAGTCGGGATCGCGATGAAGAGGGTCAGTAACACTCAGGGAAGGAAGGGAATTGAGGTCGGGATCGCAATGAGAAAGCGAAAATCGACAAAGGAAGGGTGGAGAGTCAAAGGTCACTTTTGGGTGGGTGCGGACGGTGGAAAGGGGTTGTATACATGTCTCTGTCTGTGTGTGTGTGTGTGTGTGTGTGTGTGTGTGAGAGAGAGAGAGAGAGAGGGGTGTAAAGTAAGAGAGTCGGGTATAGCGGCTTTATAGATAATTCATGTGCCTTGTAATTACGAGTACTTGGCTTCATACCGGGGACAACGATCAGGAAACAGCGGTCTTGAGGGCAAAGCAAGAGGTAATTGGGGGGGGAGGGGAGGAGAGAGAGAGAGAGAGAGAGAGAGAGAGAGAGGGGGGGGGGGGGAGAAGAAACCGGGGGGGGGGGGAGGAGACGTTGATTGATGGGAGATTCTTACTACCTAATTAAAGCCGTCGGCGGAGATGTCGGTCTTCTTGGGCAGAAGGTGTGGGATTTTTTCGTTATCCCCAAGTTTTATCTGCATGCTTTTTTTTTTCTCTTTTTTGTTTCGTGGCCTTCATTTTTCTGTTTTTTTTTTTTTTCTTTCTGTTGGTTGCGCGGATTCCTTTGTCTTTTTTTTTGTTTTTTTAAATGTTTTTTTTTCTTTCAATCCACGAAATCTTGGCTTGCGAAATTAGCAGGTGCGCATCTTATCATATTGTCCAATTCTTGTTCCTCCCTCCTCTTCCCTCC